TTGGATGCTGATTTGCTTTCGGGGAGGTGTGGTTCAAAGCTGATTGGCTGTGTAGCATTCATAAAATGGCAACAAATTAAAACTATAAGCGGATTTCTTGATTACTATAAACAATTTATTTAAGCAGCATTCGTATAGAAATGATTCTGTCCCAAACCTTTTTAACACTATAAGCGGTTGATTACTATATCTGTTACCACTAGAAGCGGATTCCACTGTATTTGCTTGTTCATGTTTCAAAAACACATTTTCTAAATGTCAGAAAAGTACGGACGTGTGGAACGTATTTATACGGCTCGTATATTGGGATCAAGGATGTGGAACGCCCAGCTGCATCAAGACAAAGTACCAGGGCTGCGAATCTTTGGGATTCCCACGATTCGATTTATAATCGATTCTTGGGGTCACAGTTCGATTCTTTTAAATCCAAACGATTCGATTCAGAAACGATTCTCAGGATCTATTCCAGTCTGCTGGCATGAAAGAAGAGAACATTTATAAAGACTTTAAATGTTTTATTTTCCTATTGCAAAAATGTAAACACTGAAAGGTCTTGGATTTATACTGCTCGAATTTTTAAACTTCTACAAATACAACACTATGTCTTACACTCAAGCTACTTAAACTGGAAGTAATAAAACTGTTGTAAAATAAATACAATTGGTAGGCTTAAGCTTTATCGTTGCAATCTCTGCAAATCACATGAGGTTGAATTTCTTTTTCTTCGTCCTCCATACTTTAGCGGCAACAAACAGAGTAGCTCACACAACACCACACACCCATCTGTAGCCTGCTAGGCTAACGCTTGCATGCCTGTGCATAGCTCACGCTGCTCATTGGTTTCGCCAAACACTACGGTGCCTGATGAGGCACATCCGGACCCACAAAAAAAATAGTTTTTAAAGAAAATGAGAATCAATTCTGAATCTTTAAATGTTAGAAACGCTATTTGAGCTCAAATCGATTTTTTTCTTCACGCCTACAAAGTACACAATTTTAGTTTGATTTCACTGTCTTGTTTATATTTTATATAAGTATTTAGGGATCAAAGGACCATTTAGGAAAACGAAGAGTTATTAGTTACTAGTAGTCAGTGAGTGTTGTCTTCAATTTTCACCTTCCAGCAAACCACAGACTTGATTTGTGGAGTAGCAGACTGATAGTTGTCCAATCAACAGACAGAGGTGGCTCTGCAGGGATCTACAGCTCCTGTAACAGTCTGGTTTACAGGAGGATTGTAAGAATAAGGCTACTGGGGAAAGAATAAAGGAAAAAGAAACGTTAGAGAGTTTAGACTGTGGTTGAGGTTCTACTTCAGGAAGGATAGGGACACAGAGCATCAACACAAACGTCTAATCTGTCATTTAGCCTGGCAGATTGTAAGGAAATACAGATGGATGCCATATTTTTAGATTGTCAAAAATTACAAGAATTATATTTCTTCCACTTCCCATTTCTGCACCACTTTGTGTTCCATCTATCTCACCAAATCTTAATAAAATAAAGTAACTACTTTTGAAATACACTATAAAAATACAGATATGTTGTTCATACAAGGAAGCGCAGTTTCAGCTATCTTGAAGAAGTGCTCATACTCCATCACTGTGCCGGATTGATGTTTATGCATACATGTGCATAAGTACAAACACTCAAGCTTAATACTTTGTGACGTTAGAGCTTCCCCATGTCTTCAGTTCATGTTCCGGCCAGAAGCCTGTGTTGCTCACTCATCCACACTGCTCCTCCCCATCACACCACAGCCTGCAGTATGAGTATGCATTTAAAGTACATGGTGTGCACTACAAATGGGACCTGCTTTGGGTGAACCAGTTTATCTTCTTTTTTTTTTTTTTTAGAGGGAAGATAAATAAGCTGGTTGGAAAGAAAACTAGAACATTTGAATGTAAACAGTGATGCTCTTGAATTTGGTTCATGTTACTCTCTGTTCATTATATTCCTCCTCCACCCCTCCCATCCCAGCTCCCCTGGAGTCTCAGTCACGTGCTCAGTGCTCCCATTCGCTCTGAAATCTCCACCGACGAGCGAACAGAAACACAGCAGAGTTAATTCTCTCCACCACGTAGGGCCCTTCACCGCTGATCTCACAGTCAGAGACAAGGTTTTATCCCGTCATAACTGCTCCCAGATTAATCTCAGTCCAGATTGGTGAGCTGTCGTGCTGCTGGTCCTGGGTCAGCTACGTTAGGCGGAGAAAACTGGTGACTATAAATAGAAACTGGGACCTGTAGGGAGGAGATTCTGGCTCATTTGTCATACCACACAGGGCAAAGCTTAGTGTGGGACAGGGAGGAGAAGGGTGTAGCATCAGCCATGGATGGTTATCAGTCTTTATTTCACCTAATGGACTGTTATTATATATAAAAATGAAAAACTCGTATAAAGAGTAGTAGGAAATAGTTGGTGTTGTGGAAAAATATAAAATTTAATTTTGATCATCCTAACACAAATGGAGAATGATTATTTTCCCCAAATACATCCACAATCATTCTACTGCTATTTTAATCTAAAAACTCACACGAAGAGAAAAGACAATTAGGAGAAATTTATTGATACAATTACTTGGTCATTGGCGCTCAGACCTCGGCAGGAAACAAAGCGCTGAATTTTGATGGATCTGCATGAACAGGAGCAAAGAATAGGGCTGTTTTTCCCCCCCAGGAGTGAAACTGGTGGTGTAGTGGAGATAGATGAAGTCGGTCAGTCTGTAGACTGCTGGTTAGCGAGACGGTCTGCTGAGCTTTATAGGGAGAGCTTCACTCAGGGACCTGGAAGATGGAAGTCCAGCTTGGATAACACAGGTTGAGAGTCCATAATGAGCAAGCATGAAGCGACAGTGGAGAGGAAAAACTCCCCGTTGGGAAGAAACCTCTGGCAGAACCAGACTCATGGCGGTCTTCTGCCGGACCGGTTGAAATGAGACGCAGAATGCAGAAAGAGTCCAGGAGGAATGAACTCTGAAGTTTTAGCTACGATGGTGGAGGAGGGGCTGGAGGTGGATAGGAGAGCAGTTTCCTCAGTTGAACTTCTGCCTAGGCTCCATAATTAAACATTAAAAATGTTGATAAAAACACATATTTTGATATTATTATCAAAACAATGTGATAACTGCACTATAAATATAAAAAACAGACAGGTTTTTATGTGTGTGTGTCTCTAACAGAGGGTCTAAACACTGTTTTTGCTCAGTTAAGCAGTATTCCGATGACCACTGTTATTAACCACCATCAGCATTCAAAAGTTAGATCTATGTCAATATTTAGTTTATAGCGTCCTAAGTTTGAAATAGCCTACCTCTTAAGACGCACAGACTCAAAGGAAGGGGAGAGTAACATGATGTCACCATGATGGGTCTCCCAGTTCTACGGTGTGGAGATGCTGGCATCCAGTGCTGCAGGCATTAAGGCTTTCAGTTCGATGGAAACAGTCAATAAAAGGTGTCGCTCCTGCCACTGCTTTAGTTAGCATGATTACAACTGCATACAAAGGACTCTGGGAAGGTGTTAGTATTGCTTTATTTTGAACTGATGTGTCTACATACACGTTTATTGATTCTCTGTTTAGGCATTTACTTCATCATATTTAGTTACTTTAATGCAATTGTTTCATGTTAGCAGGTAGGACATAAGACAATTGTGTTAAAGTAACTACATTTGATTAAGTAAAAGCCAAAAGCGGTTGTATTATTTTCTTCAGAGTGTCTAATCATGTTATTTTAAGAGGAAAAAAATGCTCATTATATTGAAAATTCATCTTATTTACCCACTCAAATTAAAGGTTAATAAACCTAATTTAAGAAATGTTTACTTCTTTATTGATTGTTTCTGCTGTGTGTAAAGGATATAAATAAATTGTATCAAGATTGCAGGCCTCCTCCTTCTACATTGCAAAAACAATCTAGAAATAAGTAGGAATTTCTTAAATTAAGTTTATTTATCCTTAATCTGAGAATAATTCGATAATATGCACTTAAAAATAACAGATTGTAGTTGTTTTTACTTGTTTTAAATGTAAATGGACTTGTTCCATTGGCAAAGTGTCTCACTTACCTCCTAAATTCAAGAAATTTATTTGAAGAAAAAAAGAACTTATTTAGATTTCAATATTTTTTAGTTTACTGTATAGATATATATTCAGAATTATTGGCTTTTCAGTAAATAGTCAAGGACATATATTAAGAGTTTAAAGATACAGAAAGTTATTCAAATTGTGAGATACTTCTCTTTAGTCTTTGCTTCCTATCTGTTTGCTACAGTCTCTGTCTGATTTTAAGGCATAAAAGGAGCTACATGACAAAAAATGTATCTAAAAAAAGTAATTTTTTCTTAAAATAAGTGCATTTTTTCTTTAATTGAGGAGGAAAGTGAGACGCTTTGCCATTGGAACAAGATGATTTAGATTTAAAATAAGAAAAAAAACAAATGCATTGTCTTATTTCAAGTGAATATTATCTAATTATCTTATTTTAGGAGTAACAATACTCATCCCATTGGCAAACTGTCTTATTTACCTGCTCTAATTAAGGGTAAATACACTGAATTTAAGAATTTTTTTTACTTATTTCTGGATTGTTTTTCCAGCTACGATGCTACCTGAGCTACCTCTGTTGGGTGTAACACCAATATATGTTGATTTTAAACCACCTCGAATCATAAAGCTTGGATATTCTGGTACTCTGTATGTGACTGTAGCTTTTTCCTCTTTGTGGCATGTTGTTGCCATGGTAACCCTAAATGAAAGCTTTATTTGGCAGGTTTGTCTGAGACAGGCAGTCGGTATATCCGTGTGTGTGTATGTGGTGTTACGTAACATCTCTTGCTTCTCTAATGAGGAGTAGACATCTTGTCAGGAGGCTTTAGAGAGTTTTTAGGACAACTGCAATGTTTTACCACATCCTGAATTTAAACCGTATCACAGCAGGTGTTACATTAATGAAATAATCCATATGCCGGGTAAAAACTCCTTGTTTGTGTCTCCTACAGAGAACTGATGAGGAGGCGGTGGTGGACCGTGGGGGCACACGCTCTATGCTCAACACCAACTTTGAGAAGGAAGAACTCGAAGGTAATTAACTGCCTTATTTGGTAATTAGTGGCACAGATTTAGCTGAATTGACCTGTTTTTGGTCAGTTGGTCTAATAACATAAAACTGTCTGGAGAGGGGATTTATTTAGTTTCGGTGAGTGGTCTTTATTGGCTACTGAAAGAGGAAAAACAAAATATTTTCACATGTTTTTGGGGGGGATTTAAGATTTCTTAGAAACTGTAAAATTTTCCAGTGAGCGTCTCTCTGCCCCTGTTAGGCTCACACAGCATCAAGAAGGTGTCTAAACCCTCTGATGTCAGTGTGCTTCAAAAATATGTCAGCTTCTAGCCATAATAATAACTGCTGCTAGCACCGTTAGTTTAAAAATAGGCCTGCCCAGTTTCATAATAGATGAAGCCTTCTCTGTTTGAAAGTGTTGTGAGAAGAGTATTCATCGTTACTAATGAGTATATGATTATCTAATGTGTGCAGATATTTACAGAGTGTAAGTAAAATCATTATGCATTTCTCATCCCACTTTTAACTGTGTGGTTGCAACGGTAATCTGGCAAACCAAAGCAAATCAATACAATTATTACAAGCATCTAGAGATTATATTGGATACGAGAATGCACAATTATGTTGATCCAATGTTGGGCTAAATGACAGAAATTACAATAGGATTAACAAGTCTTACTTTTTAGCTTTCCTGCCCCCTTTTTTTTGGGAATAGCACATTGTCCCATTTAGCCAGCCTGCAGCAAAAACTGGTAATCGCTTAGACTTTTGTACTGGAAAAACGACCTAGAAATAAGTTGAAATTTCCTAAATTAGGTGTATTTACCCTTAATTTGAGTAGGTCAATTAGATAGTTTGCCAGTGGAATGAGTATTTTTACTCTTGAAATAAGATAATTGCACTTGAAAAAAGACAATGCAATTGTGTTTTCTTATTTCAAGTGTAAATTGTCTTGTTCCATTGGCAAAATTTCGATTTTTTTTCCAGTGAATTCAAGTCCCGATCTTGGAGAAAAAACGGGAGAATATTGGCTTTCACTCCTGTTTTGATCAGAGTATTTTTCACATCCATTCAGTTTAACTGATCTACAAGGGCTTATTACATATAGACTTCAAACCTTGGTTTATTAAAAGAAATGTATTTTGGCATTATTTTGCTGTAGTTGTCGGTTTATCACACAAAGACAAATATAGTCATGTTATTGGGCTTAATGTGAGCAATTCCTAAAGGATATTATGGACAAAAAGCTTCCGCTGGAAACAGGAAAAAAAAGACAAAAAAGGAAACATCGTATGACATCAGCAGTTGTTCGTGCCTGGAAGAGGAGAGCTATTTTTATAAAACCCACCACACACACACGTCTTGACTCGCTCTCATATAAACCCTCCTCTTACACATCCCTCCTCTACATCACTTCTGATCTGCTTCAAAACTGCCTGATTGTGAAATTTGCTGCATATGCACAGTTGGTTTGTCCTCTTTCTACTACTTCCCACATGCATAATTTACTCAACGCTAAGAGCAGTTTGTCGCCGATTGGTCCACCTACTGTAGGACAAGCTCTGTCAGCATCAGGTCTGCCCTGACGACAAATATATTTAGACATCGTACATGATCTCACTTAACCTCTATTTTGTTATTCCTGTTGGTGAACGTCGCTGCAGTGACTCTCTTGAGGTTCTGTGATGTAACCACGCTCGGTCAAGCTGATATTTCACTCTGGAGATTAACAATCAATTGAGGCATTTTTAAAGCATAGTCTTTACTAAAATAATTGTTTCTTGATGTAGTATTTGAGTTTATCTTTTTTTTTTCCGATTTGCTTTAGATGTTTTATATTTTCTCGTTATTATAAATTCAAAACTGGCTTTTGCCAGTAAAAAAAAAACCCAGGAAGGTAGGGCAGCTTGTAAAATCTGGGTCAGATAAACTCTAAACCTCTGCTTGCAGTGCTTAGTACTCAGTAATGCCGTGTAACTTTGTCTCCCTGCGTATTTAATACAAACTAAGCCAGTCGTACTGTTTGGATGGGAATTATGAGACCCAGATGGTGATCAAATACTTTAATTAACTAATCATCAGCAGTTGCTACTCTGGAGCATGAACTTTATAAGTTCCACACATTTTTTAACAGAATTTTTCACATAAAACCATTAATTTCACTGCACATAATTGAGATCCAATGGGAAAGACTAACACCCGGTGGTGCATTTTTTATAAAGGGGAACCAAAATGATACATGGTTCAAAAGTTATCTTGCTGATTTAATACCCCTAGATGAAATCCAGTGCAACCTACCATCAGATTATTAAAGCATTCTACATCCGGGTTATGTCAGGATAAATGCAGTTTGGATGAAAGCAACACGCACACCTAAACACACAATCTTCATGGTGAAACACGGTGTCGGCAGTATTGTGCTTTAGTTTAGCACATAT